CTCACTTTTCATCATTTGTATTGTGCTTTATTGTGCTTTTAAACATTATAAATCTGAGCGAAGGACCTACTTTTTTCTGTAATACTTCATTTTTCTAATCTCACAGCCTGGGACAATTTGCAGAGACTTATGATCTTTGACATTTTGATTTTAACTCAAGGAAAGGATAGTCACAACAGGTGATAAGATGCTAATCCACCTTTTCAAAACTGACATGGTTTTAGCATCCTTGCCAGGGACAATGGTGCCAGCGAGGTGTTGGGGATACTGAAAATATTACTTACTATTAGAATTAGCGACCCAGTAGTACTCATGCTGAGTTTGTGATTTATGTTCTAGCTCTGACTTCACATTCTCCAAAATGTCAGCAGTTGAGCAGCAAAAAAATTCAGATTAGTGGACCAATCTGAGCAGTATTAAGGGATCTCAAATACATATTTAAGAAGTTTAACTGGGAGACACTCTGGCATTTATGACTTGGCAATCAAGACTCAATATCCCTATTTTACTATTCAAGGAATATCTTACTGTCTAGGGATTGTGATGTCATAGCATTTTTGTAAAACAAACACATTTTCTCCCATGTCTTTTTGTCTCAATTATTTCCTAGAATTCTTCCTAGATTTTTCTTCTCTGATTTCCTGTAAAAATAAAGGATTATCAGCATTCTACAGGACTGTCTTCCTAGGAGTAAGAAACTGTACCATATACTTACAGCCCATTCTTCACTGTGTATATTCTAATGTTTCATATGCCACTCAAATTCAACATCCCAAATTGAACCGATCACCTTCCACTTGCATGTTCTATGCTAATTTATCTATACTTATTTGTTGTCAGTTCTTTGTGTCCATGACAGAGCTTAAGATTTCCCCTTTGCTTATTTTCACCTCTGTATAAAGTACCAAATACTTTTTTCATAATGTTTATTTCCTCTTATGTTTTTCTATCAACCTTTATCTCCTTGGAATTTCTTCAGTGTCATCTCATGCATTTGATATAAATGAAACCATGGTACAAGTGACCAGGACACACAAATAATTATCCAAGGAAGGTACTCTTGTTTATCTCAACTCCACATTCACAAGCCTAAAAAAAATAGGTGTTTCCTGTACTACACTTGAGAGTATTTATGTTGCTTGCATTTAATCATCGTCTTTTTCTTTACTTTATAAATTATCTTTGACTTGAGCATAAATATAATTACTTCCTCCACACTGGCTCAAAAAGAAAGGATCAAAACAGGTGGATATGAGAATTTGATACATACTGTGGCTAGGTTGTGGTAAATAGAAATCTACTCATTATTTTTTCAGCAGTTTCATTTCTAGGTATTTGAATGCAGATAGACAAGTGTAAGAATGTATATATGTAAATAATCACTGCATCAACAATACACATAAAAATATAGAGAGTACATACAGTCCAAGCATATAGTGGGATAAAATGCAATAGAAATGAATCTAATGTCTGTATAAGAATATTTTGAGAATAAAAATATATACTTACCTAGGCTTCATTCTATCATTTATATGTAAATTACATCCATACAGATATTCTTAGATAAGAATAGAATTTAAGTTACACACAAAAAATTTCTTTCTGGTACTCTATGGCAGGACACTAGGGATCTTACATCCATACAGATATTCTTAGATAAGAATAGAATTTAAGTTACACACAAAAAATTTCTTTCTGGTACTCTATGGCAGGACACTAGGGATCTAGGAGTGGGAGACTTTTCATTATACACCTCTGAAAAAGATTATTCAAGCCAGGCATGGAGGCACATGCCTTTAATCCCAGCACTAGCACTCTGGAGGCAGATGCAAGTGAATCTTTGTGAGTTCCAGGCCACCTGGGGCTACAGGGAGACCCTGTCTCAAAAAAAAATTTTTTTTCATGTATGTCTCAGGGAGTCTCTGCCACATGTGGGTGCTTATGGGGGTCAGTCAAGGGTACTGCATTCTCTGGAACTGGAATTACAGCTCAATTGTGAGCTGCCACGGTTTGTTATTGGAATCCAAATTTGGGTCCACTGGAAGAGCTGCAAGTGAATTTAATGGATGAATCAACTCTCTGGCTCCACTATATACATTTTATAGTGTAGTCTTTCACCATGTCCACATATTAGCCATTTTAAATTAATAATATAAAATATCAAGAATTAAAAAAGCATTTAATGGTATAGCTGTTCAAATCATGAAAAAAAATTGTTAATGTAAAATGGTAAACATCTATGCCTTCTGCTTATATTGAAAATACTATATACAAATTAGTATATACTGTTAATATACGATGAACATAAGAACTTAAAAGTACATGTAATATGTAAATTTTGTAAATAAAATTTACTATATACTTTAAGTCAGTTAAAATATTTAGTCATTCTGGTGGCTGGAGAAGCGGCTCAGCGGTTAAGAGCACTGATTGCTCTTGCAGAGGATCTGGGTTTGATTCCCAGTACCCACATTGTGGCTATGAACTGTCCTTAACTCTAGTTCCAGGGGAATCCAAAGCCCTCTTCTGCCCTCTGCGGCACTGCACGACATGGGTGCACTCACATGCATGCAGGCAATACACTCATACACATAAAATAAAAATAATAAAATGTTTTTAAAAATTTAGTCATTCTGACTTACACAAAGTATATTTAAGTAACTTTTCAAAATGTTACTTATCTTTTAATCCATCGATTTTTCCTTTACAAAAGCAAATGTAAAAAATAAGTGTGCATAGCTGAGGCTAAAACTTCTTGGCTAGAAAAGTTTGATTTTGATTAATACATTCCTAGAGGTGCAATTAAAATTGAAACATGCATTTAATCATTTTTACTCTTAAGTACTAAGATAATGAACCCATTTTTATTTTTTCTGAAATTAATCACATACTCAAAAAAGTGATCCAGATAAAATAATTATCCAGGTATTCAAAAAAAAAAAAAAAACTACTACACTTAATCTGATCATAATTACTAGCCTTTCATTGTAGATGGCTATTTAGATTGTGTTTCCTGGATGTTAAAGGAATGTTAATTCCCAAAACATCTTCCTAATTTGTCCTGCCAATTTAGGTCAAATTTGATTAGCTACGAAAATCTTTGGCATAAATGCTACCCAGGAAAGCAGGTTGGTCATAATATAGTGACTATAAAAAAGAAGTCTTTAGGGTCAAGGGTGTTGATGTTCATCTTTTACTGAATAATAAAAATTATTGGTTAATAGTTTGAATAGCACTGTAAGATTCAGCAACCAAGTGAATATAATTTTAAGCACTTTATACACCAATGACATAATCAACAAATACTGAGTTCCTACATTCAAATGAAAGACACAACAAATTGTAATAATCTACAACTTGAACAACATTTTCTAATTTGAATAGTGCTTTAAAGGATGAATAGTTCCTCAAATCAGCCCAACAACAATTTTAATATCTCAAAATACCATACAGCCTGAAATATTTATAAATTTTGAACATACTGAAATTCTGGTAAAACTGTACTAAAGTGAAGAAAGACAAATGACTACATTAGGCTAAAGAAAGAGCACACACAGATCCCTTAAAACAAGACTAAGATTGTTTCTGTATGATACAGCAAAAATGTAGTGTTTCTTAGGAAAGTGCACAAAAGTCTTCCAACCAAATTTTGATTGCCAAAAGGATCTCTCTCTACGCCTTTCTCTCTCCCTTCACCCTCCCTCTATTAGTAAGTACTGGTAAAATGGGCCAATTCCACCTTGAAGATAGAAGACACTCAAAAGTGGACGAGTGCATACACAGACACTAACACAGGCTCTCTCTCTCTCTCTCTCTCTCTCTCTCTCTCTCTCTTTCTCTCTCTCTCTCACACACACACAGAGAGAATGAAGAAAGACTGAAGTGAAAGATAAGTCTGTGCACTTTGACAAGAAGGAGCCATCCTTAACTCCAGAGGCCTGCATAGTTGCCATGGAGGCCTGAAGGCAGTGGTCCTCCACCCACGAAGAGCTTCATTTCTGGCCAGTTGTAGCAGTGGGTGTAGAGTGCATTGGGGAACTCTTCCATACCACCAAAGTAGTTCACCCAGAGTTCATCTTGGTTGAGCCAGCCTCTACCACAGGTGAGTTTGAGCTTCCTGCCTGTGGGCCCAAGAAAAGCATCTGGGCTGGCTGAAGATCTCTCCTCCAGGAACTTCTGGGCACGAATGTCATAGAAGAGCAAAGATCCATGACCAGTGCCCACTGTGATGATGTGCTGGTAGAAACTCAAGGAACGAACACCTGTACCTCCTTCTCGGGAACACAGGGGCCGGATATTCTGCTGGCGCTGTCTTGGGTCCAGGAAGGAGACATGAGACTGGGAACCCACTGCATAGAGGGACAAGTCATCGCAGTAGGTGAGGCACACATTTTCTCGGCAGTAAGGCAGCCTGAAAGACAACAGCCTGGACAGGGAGCTCCGGGCTTTCCACAGGTGGAAGTAGCCATCCAGGGACACTGCTCCCAGCTCCTGGTTTTTGCCACTAAACGCCAGGGCTCTCACTTTGCGGTTACCAGGGTTGGAGGTGGCTCTGGGGATGGCCTCCATGTCCTTTGGACGGATATGTGCATACCGTGGAATCCCTGCATGGTTGTTCCCGGGAATGCTGCCACCGAACATGTCAGGGTCTAGTCGCCACAGTGCCACGGTGCCATCTCTGGAGCCACTCACGGCCACAGTGTCGCTCATCCAGGCGATGGCAAAGATCCAGTCTCTGTGGCCTTGGCGGTCCCCCAAGCACAGAGGGTCCAGGGTGGGAAGCTGGTAGACTGCCAGGCTGTTGGGGTTTTCACCCCCGGTGGCCAAGAGGGTCTTGGAAGGATTCAGCTGGATGGCATGGATGCCACAGGTGGGCTGGGCACGGGCCAGTCCAGGACCCCTGTCCCGCATTAGGGGGATGCGTGTGATGTGACCCGACTGGACATCCACCACAAAAAGTGTGTTGCACTTGGTGCCACACACCACTTGCCTGGCGTTGAGCCACTGTGATGCGAACACCTTGTTGAGGGGGCCGAGGGGCAGCTGGCGCTCCCGCAGCAGCTCCGGCAGCCTGTGCACCGCGTAGCTGCGCAGTTCGCCCTCGAAGCCAGCGAGCCCGCCGTGGCCCGCATCGCCCAGCTCGCGGCCGTTTAGGTAGTGAAGCAGCGAGCGGCGCGCCGCGGGCCGCCGCGGCCTCTTGGGCAGCAGCAGAGGCCCCTCCGCGTGGCCCGCCGCGGCCGCGGTACCCGGAGACGACGAGCTCCCGGCGCCCTCCTCCACCTCAGGCGCTTTCCGCTTCCTGCTACCTGTTTGCTGCGGGGCCATGGTGGGCGGCGGGCGGGCGGCGGCGGCGGCGGCGCGGCGGCGGCGGCGGCGCATGGCACCGGTGTTGGCCGTGGTGGCGGCAGGGATGGCGGTGTCTCCAAATCAGCGGGAAGGACTGGGTGTCAGGAGCCTGGAGGCTGTGTCAATGGCCTGTGCGCCGAGTGTCCTAGGTCCTGGGTCCAGGGTGTGTGGGTGGCACAGGAGGCGAAGGTGCAGCGTGGCCGAGGGAGGAATGCGTGCTGGGAAGGAGCGGAGCGCTGGCAGTGCGCGGCGCCAAGGGTGGAGGCGGCTGAAGCGGGGACTGAGGAGAGGGCGGGAAATGCGGCCGTCTGGGTGGCGGTTGTGAAGTCAGTGTGGGGCGAAAGAGGACGCCGGGGACCCGAGGGTGAGAAGCTGAGGCTGTGGGAGGGGCAGGCAGCCCTGGGGTGCGGGGTAACACAAGCCAGTCTGAGTGGGGGTTGGGAGAAAGCAGAGGGGTTGGTGCGGGAGGGAGGGTGTGGAAACTCTGGGGATACATGAGGAGGGCTGAGAGACACAAGGCTTTTCACCAACCTTGCAAAAGCAGCCAACTAGTCTTAAAATCTGAAACCTACAGTGTAGCAAGCAGGAGACTGAAAAAGAGCGTTGACCACGATCTGATGGAAGAAATAAATGTTCACTTGGTGTAATCTGGAGAGACTTTTGATTAAAGTTAAACTTTGAACTGGACTGGGGGTGAAAACATTTTGAAGAAGCCTGGAGGCCTCTTCAGCTAGTTCCTTTGCACTATGTGTAAGCCACTCTGCTGGTGGTATTTTAAACAATTGCAACCTTTTTTGTTTTGTTTTGTTTTGTTAATGAATTGAGATTCCTGGGTTTCTGCACTTGAGTCTCTGAAAGATGTTTTGGTAAAGCCTGACCCCACTTTCAGCCTGAAACAGTCAAAAGAACCTCAGGAATTTTATAGGGTTACAATGATGAAATGACAATATTCAAGGATTAGAGGTGAAGGGAATGAAGTTCCTTTATATATTGACTTTTCTGGACCTCGGAATCTTGAAATAGTGGGGCGTCAGGGAAGGGCAGAACAGAGACCCTAGAGAGTAAGAGGCACCTCCGCATTCTCCAGTTAGGGAATGTCCAAAACATATAGCCCAGAACAGATCTCCAGGCCTCCATGTATGAGGGGAGATCTCACGCCTCAGGACAGGGCCATGAGGCTGAAACAAGATATCCACAGACACAGATGTTGAGAAAGAAAATTCCATGGGAACAACACAGACACCATGGTAAGAGTTAATATATTCCTCATTTGAGCTTGGCAGCCTCAGGAGTCAGGTGGTTCATATCTCTTCTGCAGTTTTAGTACATCCACATGGACATTGAGAAACATTTCTTGGAGTGGGAGATTAGTGGCTGTTACCAAAGTAAAAAGACCCACCCCTTCTCCATAGTTAACATTTCTTAAGTTCTGTGCATGTGTTTTGAAGGAGGGAATTTAACTTTTCTGACCAATGAGAGGAAACATTGGAGCTATTTTATTATTACTCTTCCCAGTACCAAAAATTTACTTTTTGCAAAATTAACTCCAGTCTACCACCTGGAGATATAACATCACATGGACCCATTTCATCAACCAGTCCAGCTCCTCCTTCCCAGTGCCCACCCACCACTTCCAAAGAGCACACTATCTAGAAATATGTAAAATTACAAATTATTGTTGAAGCTGTAGATATAATGGCATGCTTATCAACTTCAGATGACTGTCAACATCTCTGTCTTCCCGATCTCTTTTCTGCATCCACTACTGTTTTTTATTTCAAATTACCCCCTCCTAAATTCCTACATTAGACTGCTCTCCTCCATTGGATGTGAGCTTATATGAATGGTGGTACAACAGTCTCATGCTGTTCTGGAATTCTTTAACTAAGTTACATTTTGTTGTATCAATCACATTATCAACAATTTAAGAGAAGGATAAGTAATATCTTTATTAAGGTTACACCTTTACAGAGTTTTAGGTATGCAGTACAAGGCTTAAAAAATGTTATGGTTTAGATAAAGAGAATAAATAAAATGATGTATGCAACAGGCCAAATATATTTTGAAATGAATGTGTGGAGAAAGTGAAGAATTTTAATAAAATTGTAGTAATGAAGCATTTTTTCATTTTTCAAATATTGGAATATTTTTATTTTACATATATGAGTTATACCTCCATGTATGTAAATGCACCTATGTCACACAAAGCCCACAGAGGTCAGAAGAGGGCATCAGATCCCCTGGAACTGGAGTGGTTATCCATCATGTGGGTACTGGGAATGGAACTCAGCTCCTCTGCAAGAGCAGCCAGTACTATTAGCTGCTGAGTTGTCTCTCCAGCCCCAATAATTATTTTATTTTATGGAGATACAGGTACATTGACATCTATGCTGAGATATCCTGAAATATGTTTCTACACTTCAAAAATAAAATGGGATCACATATTTTTGTCTACATATAACATTTAAATGTCTGTATATGATACATAGATTTCCAGGTTTCAAATCAATTTTATTAGATAAGCCCAATTTTCTAGTGTACAAATGAAGAAAACCAGGTTCCTACTTATTACCCAAGATATATTACTTTAGAATTAGTTAAAATTGGGGACTGGAGATATGGATCAGCAATTAAGAACACTGGTTGTTCTTACAGAAGACCTGGGTTCAAATCCCAGCACTCACATGGCAGCTAACAACTGTCTGTAACTCCAGTTCCAGGGGATCCAACAGCCTCTTCTGTCTTCCGCAGGCATTGCATGACATGGGTGCACTTACCTTCACACAGGCTATACATGCATACACATAAAATAAAAATAATAAAATATTTTGAAAAACTTTAAAAAAAGAATTAGTTAAAATAGATTTGTTATCATCATTTGGTATCACAAATATAATCTTATACAAACACTAGTCCAAGTATACTGAAAGTGTTACTATAGTTTTTAGTTTGAAATTAAAATAGTCTGAAAAAAAAAGACATTGAAATTTGAGTGAAAGGCAGGGCAAGACTCTGTAATTAATAAGACTGAAGAAATTCTCAATTATAAATTTTTCTTTTATATGATATTTGTTATGAGAATATATGTCACTACTTATGAATACAAACTTCAGACTTGGAGGAGATTCCCATTTATGACTCTTAAGTAACTGGATTGTGTAATAATTTCCATGCCAAGTACAGTTATGAACTAAGGTTATGCGTGAAGGTATTCATGACATCTTGTCTATATTTGTATATATAGTATTTATCCTTATCAGTAAGTATAAATAAAACACACTAAGAAGAAGCATAGTTTATCAGGCCTATTTAAAGTAATACATGTTAATAATATACTGTTATTTATATCAGATACAAGGAAAACTATTCTTGAATAAATAAATTGAATAAATATCACTTAATCTCTAATATAATTAATACCCTTTCAATATGTTACATTATTTTGTCTCCTATGATAAACAGTTGTTATACTGGATTGTGTTCATTTGCACATCTTCTTCCAAACCTCATGGTACAGAACCTGATAGAGATGGTTCTGTATTCCCCACTGTGATGACCCTTCCAAAGGCATATACTGTTGGATGAGGTAAGAAGAAAAAATTTCTCACATCATTGCATTTACTAGAAACAAAGTTATAGAGAAGGAAAAAAAATAATCCTATGACCTCTAATTTGAGCCAGTTCAATCTTCCTAAGGAAGAGAAACATGCCACAGTCCAATTGAGGCCTGTTTTAGAAGATGGAAGGTAGATTCTGTGCTAGTTGTATGTTTTAGGGGAGGGGCACAGTGGCGCACTGACTCAAGAGAATGGACATGAAACTGGATACCATGATTGTAAGTTTGGTTCTAGGGTTTGCTCAGCTGGAATTTAGCTGCTTATTGTATTCATTTTGTACTTATTACCTTAGTTATAAAATGGGGATAATAATATCACCCATGTCACAGTGTCATTTTTAGATTAAATGAGCTGCTGAGAGAGAGAGAAAGAGAGAGAGACAGAGAGAGAGAAAGGGGGAAGGAGAGAGAGGTTGGGCAGAGAACAGTAACTTGCAGATTATAGGCACTTTATAGATAATCTCTTTAATCATGCCTGCCTTTCCTGTTTTCCATTATATGCTATTGTAAAGACAGTGCAATAGGCAGTATTATGGAGGTTTTGATTGCCTGCTGTACTTTAGAACATATTCACCATTACTGAAACTAGTATATTCAGGCATAAATTATTTGTAGAATTGGCTACTTTTCTGCTTATATAAATCTCTATTGTGTTGCCAAACTATAGATGGATATTCAGAAGATAAGATGTAATCTAATAACTTTACAGTATGCTAGTAAATTTTAAAGGGGAACTTCAGAAAGTCTCATCTTATGAAACACCCAGATTTGGGTTCCTACTCCTTATAACTGCTGATATAAATATGTGTTCAAAAACAGAACCTGATATATACATCAGTATACAGCATTTCATATCAGATGATATCAGATAAATTGGATAGAAGTGGCTGAAAATTTGATACAGAGCATGTTTTGATTTTAGGTAGTCATATAAAGATATTAATGAAATGATGCCAATGAAGTAGATGGAGAATGCCTTGGATTCAGTGCTCTGCTATATTTAACTGGATATAGGTATTCAATCATCACTTTTCTTACCTTTGATTTCAACTTACTTAGCTTCAAATGTACCATATATACCAATGCTTCCTAATTTTTATGACTTCATCCCAAACCTGCCTAACTTCCTACTTGGCATTTTAGATGTTCAAACAGAACTTCAAGTTTAGTATGTATAATGTCAAAATCTTGGTTTCAGTGCCCATGATCCTGAACTTTTATTATTCCCTGTCCTCATGAATAGTACCACCATGCATTCAGCTGTGCAAACCAGATTTCTAACAATTACCCTTGATGGACATCTCTCCCTTGAGTCCAGTTCTAATGCCCTATCTTCTAACATTTTTAAGTACATTCAGTTATTAATATTTCTACTCATACCCCTAGGTCCCCAACCACTATTTAGCCTTGAATGGACAACTGTAATTGCATGCTAGAAATCCACTTTCTCTCCTCTACCCTACAGCC